CGCCGCGCGTGCGCGAGGCCCGTCAGATGGAAACCTTCCCCCTGCGTGTGTTCGTGAACCCCAGCCTGCTTGTGGACAGCCGCCTGGTCACCTTTCCCGAGGGCTGCGAGAGCATCAGCGGCTTCCTGGCCTGCGTGCCCCGCTTCCAGGCGGTGCAGATCTCAGGTGCGGGGTGGTGGGGGGTCCCTGGGGCGGATGGGTAAATGCGTGCTCCCCTTTAACCTGCGGAGGCGGCGGCCTCGGATCCCACGAAACGGTTTCCGCAAAGTTCCAGTTAAAGCGTAGACATGTTGATGGCTGATCAGCGGAACCCACCTACCCACTAGCAGACCCTGGAGTGGACAAAATTCAGGACTGACGCAATGGGATGGGGCAGGAGGCGCCTGTGAGAGCAGAGCCAGCTCAAGTGGGACACAGGGTTGGGGGTTTGGGAGGGTGGCCTGGTTCACCTGTTAGCTCACACCACGTCCTCTGCCCTGTCACTCACCTTGTGTCTGTTTCTCTGTCTCTCTCTCACACACACACACACACCTCTACTGCGCCAGTTAGATCTGTCACGTGGAATGGGAGAAGCAGAACCCAGCTTTGCCTAACCCAAAGTGATAAGCCATTACCTGTCATACCACAGGATGTTTTGCAGAGTGTGATTCTTTGCTGGGGTTGGGATGATTGTTCTTCTTGAGCAAGTCACTTGGGAAGATCATTTCTCATTTCAGCCCCATAGCGAACCCAGCAACCTACTCGTCAGAGTTGGGAACCAGGCTGAATACTTGGTAAGAGGCAGAGTTCAGACTTCTTTTCTAGGAAGCACAGGGGCTGCTGTCTGCATTCCCTTCTGATATTACCTCTCGTAAACAGGAACAGCCAGGGGCAAGGAAAGGCTAAGTAGGTTGAGAATGATGCAGTTCAGCATGTCCTCACCCAGGCTGTACCTTCCTTTTCAGGGATGGACCCCGGAGGAGAGCAGGTGGTGTGGCAGGCCAGTGGGTGGGCAGCCCGCATCATCCAGCATGAGATGGACCACTTGCAGGGCTGCCTGTTCATTGACAAAATGGACAGCAAGACATTTTTACAAACATCCATTGGATGGAGGTTAATGACTAAAGCTTTCCTGCTGCATCTGAGGACCCTGAAAACCAAGACACAAACATTTTGGCTTTAAGCTGGGCATGTCTTACCTGGCATCGACTTTGGTATTGGCTCTGCTCCGACAGAAAACAATGGCCTGTCAAAGCATGCCTTCCTGAGTTGAAGGAAGATGTTAACGTTTGCCCTGAAATGAGCTATGGACAATGTATTGCCTTCAACTTGAGAAGAAAAATAACTCCCCTGAAGGAGTGGACATTTCCTGGCAATTTTGTATGGAGATAAAGACGGGGCGGGGGCAAGTAAATAGCCACTCTCAGTAGACACGATTTCAGAAGAGCTGTATCATCTGTTCCCAAAGCCAAGATTAGATAATATAGTCCCCAAACACCTGAAAGCTGTGTTTAAAAATGCGGATTAAGGCTGTGGTTGATCGTCTTCACCAAGTTCTTAACGTTTACAAAGGGCTCAAGTGTGTTACCTGCATAGTCTCCATTTGTTTTGGATACCAGTTTGCCTGTGGAAGTAAAACACTGGACAGAATGTCCCCAGTTCAGTGACAATATTAACGTAACTGAGTATTCATACATTTTAACAGGTTCAGATACAGATTAGGTCTCCAGCTTGTGCTTTCCACCTTTAACAGACCTGGGGAAGACTTTTCTGCTGAGATGTCTTAGGCAGCTGGTACTTGGCTCATTCTTTGGATGGAGGCCATGGAGCAGGGCTGGGGGAGGGGTGATATAGATTTCCCCCACGATCTGAAAGAAGAGTGTTCTGATGAAACCTTTCCTAAGCTGAAATAGCATAAATTGAAGAAGCAGTTACTTAGGACACATCTTGCTAACAGATGCACAAAATAAATGGAGATAAAGCACAGATTGTCACAGATACAGTTCAAAACTGTGGTGGCTTGATGCTGAGTGCAGCTCCCAGGTAAGGAGCTTGGCGGTGCCACTCTGGCAGCTCTGAGTGCGTGCTGCTTCTATAATGGCTCACTGCAAAACAAAAGCTGAATGCTGTTTCAGCTTTCACCTTTTTCGTAGAAGTGAAAATCCTCTTCAAATTTCTTTCCATTAGTGAAAACAGGTACTAACATAGGTCTTTCAATAAAAGCAAAGCAGTGTAAAGTGAAGTTACAAAAAGTGGGGGATGCCTGTAGTCGAGAAGGAGCAAAGAGCCTCTTCCTGTCACAATTAGGGCAGAAACAGAAAGCAGAACTTGTGCTTCCTCGTCAGCACACTTATTCTGAAAAAAAATAAATTAGCATCATGGTGACCAGTGTTTTAGCTTTAAGATTCTGTCACAGCTTTGTCAAGAGGTTAAGGAACTCATTTCTTTTGATACTTGTCTTACCTCATTTTTATGTTGAGTTTTGCCATGCAGGTACTGTTACCAAAGTCCTCAAAATACAAGTACCCATAGAGTAAGAAGTCCAGTAAGTTGTTTAGAGAAAATGTGTTTTAAACAGTAGTTAATTAAATGACCCCAGGAAAGACCCATTTTCCGCCATGGCTTTCTCTAAACAGCCAAGCCTGGGGGCCTTTGAGGCCAGGCAAAAGAGAACTGGCTCTCTGTGCATCACACTTCAGAGAGAAACAGGGCCCAGCACTGCCCTGAGGTGAGGACAGAGACTCAGCCACCTGGGAATCTGTAGTGAGCTCTCACGTATACTGAAAACACATATCCTTAGGAAAATTAGAATTCAGTGAGCCTCCTTTCTATTGGACACTGTTCAGAAGCTCCTGCAGGATGCCATCAAAACATTCTGAAGATTCCTTATAGGCTCTGCGGTTAACAGTCCTTAGTAATGCCTTTGTAATGCAGATCAGTAGTATTTGCCTGAAGCTTCCTGAATCAAGGCCTAAAAGTAAATGATTGCCCAGGGTGGACTGTGGAGAAAGCCTGAGACTACGCTGCTGACAATATATGAAATTTACTGTTGTAACCAAATCCACATACAAGGAAGGATTTGATCAACTAGCCCAAGACACTACAACCCAAAGACAACAAATTCTTGCATTTACAAGACAGAAAATCTCTCCCACCTTGGTCAGATATTATCAGCTGCAAAACCACATAGATCAGCACCTTGAGCTAATAAAAGTTTTAGAAGTCAACTTCCACAGCAAAAATCAATGTATGCACAAGGTTTAGAACAGAATTCCCAGGTAGGGAGGAAGTGAATTTCAGAGCAAGCGCTTAGGGAAGGAAATTCCTCTGCACATATTAGCCACATTGAGCATAGCCACTGTGCCAGCCTCAGTAGTGAACAGAACATTCATTTGCCCTGTTACTGGTAGTAGAGAAATGGAAAGGCAGGGCAGCTGTGAAAGCTGTGACTAGAGCTGTGAGGATGAACCACAGCAGTCCTACAGTTTCTGCTAACCCCTGTGACTTGCCAAGGTGTTCAAGCAGTGGAAATAAGGAAGCAGGTTAAGAAAAAAAGAAAAGGCAAGAGCCTTCTGATTTAAGTAAAGGTAACCAGACACAACTAACTAAAATGAAGCAGTACAAGGAGGGGGTGGTTTATAGACCAGCAACTGGTGGCTGAAGGCACATAACTAATCAAGAGTGTAATAGGGGAGCTCCTGAGTGAGTGACAAAGATCCCAGCCACAGTGACATCTGGAGGTCAGGCCTGCTGATCCACCAGCACTGGAGAGGAACACTGGGCCTAAGCCTTCAAGGAACCAAGCAAAAGTTGGCTCAGTTCAGCAGATGCTCCTAACCAGATCAAAGAAACACCACAGTGCAAAGCTAACAAGATCAAGAGGGGCCACAAAATCAGCTCTGGACCATTCTGGTTGAAGATACAGAGGGAGAATGCTAGGTTTTGGAGGGGGAGGAGAGCTACAGCAACTGGATGCCAGGCTGCTTCTGCTGCCCCTCAGGCAGCACTTCCAGGGCTGCTAACTCTGGAGCCTTGGCTGTCTCACTATCAGGAGTCACAGATTCAAATGGCCACAGGGGCTGGACAGGAAATGCAAAGGAGTGAGGCAGTCCAGGTGGGGACGCGTGAGCTGGAGACCACAGTCCTCCTACGAACAAGGCA